GCCCCAGCCGCTGGCTGTCCCCGAGATTGGGTCCCTGCGCTCCCACCCCTGCCGCGCTCCCACCCCTGCCGCTGTCCCGCCTCAGGGAAGAGCAGCAGCAGGCCTCTCGGCCCCAGCCCCGCCCATAGGACATTTTTGATTCATTTACATCCTTGAAGAGCATCTGTAGAAGAGGAAGGAAAAGATGGGTATGAAAACATTTACTCATAGTTCCTCTTCCCACAGTCAGGAAATGCTCGGAAAACTATGCTGCGAAATGATGGACATTTCTGTGATATCACTATTCGTGTCCAGGATAAAATCTTCTGGGCACATAAAGTGGTACTAGCAGCTTGCAGTGATTTCTTTTGTACCCAGCTTGTAGGCCAGGCAGAGGATGAGAACAAGAGTGTGCCAGATCTGCATCATGTTACAGTGACTGGCTTTATTCCCCTTTTAGAATATGCTTACACAGCCACTCTGTCAATTAACAGAAAACATTATTGATGTTCTAGCTGCAGCCAGCTATATGCAAATGTTTAGTGTTGCTAGCACCTGCTCAGAGTTCATGAAATCAAGTATTTTATGGAACACACCCAATAGCCAAGCAGAAAAGAGTCTAGATGCTGGACAAGAAAATTCTAACTGCAATTTTACTTCTCGAGATGGAAGCATTTCTCGAGTATCTTCAGAGTGCAGTGTGGTAGAAAGAACCATTCCTGTGTGCCGAGAATCCCGGAGAAAGCGCAAAAGCTACATTGTTATGTCTCCTGAGAGTCCTGTTAGAAATAAACAAGTTGACTCTTCTTTATCTTTTCCCTGGACTTCTCCTTTTGGAATTGATAGAAGAATTCAGTCCGAGAAAGCTAAGCAGGCAGAGAACACCCGGACTTTAGAATTACCTGGCCGGTCTGAGCCAGATAGAAGAATGATTGATTGCGTGACTTGTAAGAGCACAAAAGCTGCATTGCCTCTGGACACTGAAGAAGACATCCAAGTCAAAGTCGAAAGGTTAAGTGATGAGGAAGTCCACGAGGAAGGGTACCCCCAGGCTGTCAGTGCATCTCAGAGTTCACTGAGTGATCAACAGACAATTCCGGGAAGTGAACAAGTCCAAGAGGACCTTCTGATTAGTCAACAGTCTTCCTCTATAGGCTTAGTAGATAAAGGTGTCAGCGAGGGGTCGCCTACACTTCAAAACACTTCTAGCACTAATGCTCATGCGGATGACGACCCTATCAACTCTACATTGCTCCTTCTACCAGCAGTACGGAAGGACCAAGTCCAAATGGTCCAGACAGACCATTTCAGTGTCCAACCTGTGGGGTGCGATTCACCCGTGTTCAGAACCTAAAACAGCACATGATCATCCACTCAGGAATTAAACCTTTTCAGTGTGACCGCTGCGGGGGTGGGGGTGGGGAGTTCACCAGGGCTTACTCGCTAAAGATGCATTGCCTAAAGCATGAAGGTAAACGCTGCCAGATATGTAGTGCTCCTTTCACTTCCTTTGGGGAATATAAACACCATATGAGGGTTTCCCAGCACATTATCCGCAAGCCTCGGATTTACAAGTGCAAAACATGTGGTGCCACGTTCACCAACTCTGGAAATTTAATCGTGCACCTGAGGAGTCTGAACCATGAAGCATCAGAGATAGCAAACTATTTCCAGAGCAGTGATTTCCTAGTACCTGACTACTTAAACCAAGAGCAAGAAGAGACCCTTGCTCAGTATGATCTTGGAGAACATCGTTTTGAAAGCAACTCTTCCGTTCAAATTCCTGTAATTTTTCACAGGTCTCCTCCACCCAGAACTGTGAAAGCACTTTCCCCAAGGGATCTCTTGCTGGGCTGGCAGAAAAGGAAGAAGAGGTGCCAGAGCAGCCAAAGACCAGTGCTCATGGTGAAGCTACCAGAGATGATCCCCCAAAGACAGAACTGTCTTCTATAACTATCAAGTAGTTTTGTAGTTTGGCTTCATTTTTTGGAAAGTGCCTGTGCTTGGTCTTGTACATTTAAATTTAATTTATTTTTTTAACCAAGAAAGAGTTTGGGAAACAATCTCCCTTTTCACTTTGTAAGCCCTGCAAATGATGTTTTATTTTTCTTGAGATATTGCTTCTGTAAAGACATAACAACATGATGTTGAAACAATAGAAATCATGAGATAATAGAAATCGTGAGAACCACTGACTTAAAACGTACCAGTTTTTTCCTTTCATTATTAAATGTAGGCTAACAGATCATTAGTTAAAGAAGAAATCAGACGATTATTGATTTGATTATCCTGAGATAAAAGGGTATGTGAGAAACAAATTACTAAGCAGATTTTGACTAATGGCCTTAGTAGATGTTTACTCCTTTGCACAGGATGTTGTAAAGCCTGTTCTTTTTGGAAGTGTTCATGGTAAGCCTTCTTAAAAATTACTAAATACTTCTGAAATCCAGCACACTTTTTTAAAGATTTGTCATCTCTGAGTTTTTCAGAAGAAAATTTATGTTGGATAGATATTCCCTATACTTTTTAGTACCACCCCAGAGGCAAAGAATCATGACTAAGAAGTCAGGCTGTGGATGAAATGAGCAGGAACACAGAATAAAATATACAAAACTCTGCTTCATAGAAACCCTTTTAATACTGCTTTTCTTACTAAAATTGGCATTTATGTGGTCTTTGAAGGTCAATTCCTGGTAATTGGGTCATTACCCAAATCACTTTTCCCTTTGGCCTATCAACAGTACTTTCTCTTGCATATTCTGGTGTGCTACCATATAAAGGAAAGAATATTAGAGATACTCTATATTTTATACATAGGCTTATGTATTGTTGGAGATGTTTTTACTGTGCTGTTTTGGACAAAATAAAGAATTCTGTGTTGAGGCTAAGTTCTTAACTAAGATTGTTTACAAAATTCATATGACAGTGATATTATCATTGTTCTGAAATATTTTTAGACATTGCCAAATTTATTAGAGCAGTTACTATAGTTTTTACACATTGTAAGCAATAATATAAAAAATGGGGCTATAAAATGATCATCTATGACTAAGTCTGGAAGAGGAGAGAAAATTGTTAAGACTTAACAAAAAACCCCTGAAAACCTTAAAGTAATTTTCTGCTGCTAAAAAGATGAAATTTATATGTTGCTCAAGACTGGGATATACTTTAAATCTGGTGTCATTTAAGCAGTTTTGACTTTGGTCTGATAAATGTATGACTATGAATAATGAACTTTCAATATATTTTTTTCTGTATGTAGAAGACCCAAAGTTTAATAATTATGAAAGCACCTAAATGGATTAGAAAAAGAGAAGCAAAATAGTCATACAGAGATCTGAATTTTATTTAGGTGCTAGGCCTTACCGAATATATTTCTTAATTATAGTCTAAATTAGCTAATTGTGGGGCTGGGGATTTAGCTCAGTAGTTCCGCCACCTGCTTCACAAGCACAAGGACCCCAGTTTGATCCCCAGTACCAAAAAAATAAATAAATTAGCTAATCGTATAATTTATTCCTCCCCTTCCATAAATGTAAAGAAAAAGTAAACTCACTAGAATTAAAAAAAAAAAAAAGAAAACCCAAGGAACTCCACCAAAAAAACTCTTACAATTAATAACCAAATTTGGCAACATAGCAAGATACTAGTTCAACACAAGAAAAATCATTAGCATTTATGTACACCAATAATGAACTCAATGAGAAAAAAATTATGAAAATAATACCCAGTAATATCAAGAAAACTTAAATAAATATCTAGGAATTAACCTAACCAAGAAAGTGAAGGACTTCTACAAAGAAAACTACAGTACTCTGAAAAAGGTAACTGAAGAGGACATCAGAAAATGGAAAGATGTTCCCAGATTCTGGACAGGAAGAACCAATATTGTCAAAATGTCCACATTCCCAAAATTGCTATACTGATTTAATTCAGTTCCAATCAAAATGCCAACAGCATACTTTGCAGAACCAGAGGGAAAAAATCCTAAAATTGATATGGAACCAGAAGAGACAGAATAGGGAAAGCAATTTGGGCAGTAAGAGCAAAGCAGCAGGCCTCACAATACCAGATTGCAAGATATACTATAAACCAACAGTGATAAAAACAGCATACTACTGGGACAAAAAGCGATATGTGGATCACTGAAACAGACCAGAGGTTACAGCAAACATCCCCAGCCTGGCTTGGTGGCACACAGCCGTAATCCCAGCACTTGGGAGGCTGAGCTAGGAGGATCACTGAGTTCAAGGCCAGCCTGGGCTACATAGTCAGTTCAAGGTCAGTGTCAACTACATAGTGAGACCCTGTCTCAGGAAGGGGAGGGGAGGGGAGGAGAGATCTTTAGACATATTTAGCTATTTTGTCTTTCACAACAGGGCCAAAAGTATACGTTAGAGGAAAGACAGCCTACTCAACAAGTGGTAGTGGGAAAATTGGTTATCTGTGTGCAGGACTGAAACATGCACTAAATTAAAATAAAACTGGATTAAAGATGTAAACATTAAAACTGAAACATTAAACTTCCTGACTGATAAAAATAGATAAAACACTTGATATAGGAACAGGAAAGGATTTTCTAAACAGAACCTCAATTGCACAAGAAGTAACAAAAAATCAACAAACAACTGAATCATACTAAAGGCTTCTATACAACAAAAGAATCAATCAGTATGAAAAAACCTACAGAAGGGGAAAAAAATTTTGCCAGCTGCTCATCAGACAGATGACTAATATCTAAAATATATATGAAGAACTCAAAAAATTTTGATGACTTAAAGACCCAGTCAAAATACGGGAAAGTGAGCCAGGTATGGTGGCACATGCCTGTAATTCAGGAGTCTGAGGAAGGTGGATTGCAACAAGTTCAAGGCCAGCCTGGTCTACATAGTGAAACCCTATCTCAAAAAACAGAAATGGGCAAGTGAAAGGAACAGACACTTGACAGAGAAAGAAGTACAGTTGGCCAATAAATGAAAAGCAATCATCAAGAAATCAAAAAACGAGAGCCAAAGATTTAGCTCAGTGGCACTGCACCTGCCTTGCAAGGACAAGGTCCAAAGTTCAATCCCTGGTATCACCAAAAATAAATAAAATAAACAAACACATAAATATCAAATCCTAACATGACTGTGTTGAAAAAGGAACTCTCCTACATTGTTGCTGGGAATATAAACTATTACACTCATAACAGAAATTAGTATGGAGATTTCACAAAGAATTAAAATTAGAAATTTCATATGACCCAGCTATGCCCCTTCTAGGTATCATCCCCAAAGAGTGTAAGACGTCACATTACAGTGATACATATATACCAATGTTTATGGCAGCATAATTCATAATAGCTAAATCCTGAAAATAAACAGTATACACACCAACAGTGACTGGATAAAGAAACTGTGGTATCCATATATAATGGAGTACTACTCAGCTATAAAGAAGGGCAAATCTCAGATGCTTGTAGGAAAATAGATACAGCTAGAAAATATAATGTTGGGTGAAATAAATCACACACACAAATTAAATACTGTATGGTATCTCTAATCTGAGTAAGGCAAAGTACAATGAAAAATAAAGGATAAATCAAGACAAGAGGCTGGACCTCTTGTAGATGGGAAGAAATCTAGGGGTCCAAAGGCAAGTGGGGAGGGAGAGGAGATGGGGAAATAGGATGAGTGAAGATATGCCAGGTACAAGGTCCAATACCTCAATGAACGTGGACATTATATGCCATAAATATGAACTAAGATTAATATCATCAAGAATGAAAAAGGAATAAGAAGCAAGATGTATCATGTAAAGGTACAAATTTCCAATGATGAATGTCATCATATTATATACCTATAAGGTAAACTTACTAAAAAAAAGAATGAAAAAGGAGAAACAAGAACTAGGAGGAGGGAGTGAGGGGAAGGGGATTTAAAATAATATGCCAGTGCCGGGGATTTAGCTCAGTGGTTCCACCACCTGTCTTGCAAGTGCAAGGTCCCAAGTTTGATCCCCAGTATAAAAAAATGTTGTACTATGTATATATACCAACTCCTCAAGATGAGTTTGGTTTAAAGATGTTCGACCTATAAAGTCTATTCAACATCTGAAAAACTCTTGCAATCTGAAATAATTCTGGTCCCAAGTACTCTGGATAAGGGATATTCAACCTGCATAAATTATGGAACCAGGCAGAAATCCCAAAGTTAAAAAAAAAAGATTTTTCAACAATGTTGCCCATTCATCTGAAAAATGTTTACTTCTTGAGGATGGACAGAATTTCTGGAAATAGCCCAATGTCGCTGAGAGACAAATATACTGAACAATGAAAAATGATCAAATTAGGTAAAACTGAAAGTATCTAAAATATTCCTGAGAATTAATTTTCTTGAGTGACTTCTAAACTGGGTATGAAAATTAAGAAAGTTCTCAAAATTTCCTCAAGAATTACATCATTACTGACATCTGTATGGCCCCCTAGAGTGACTAATTAGAAGGAAAGCATCCATTTAGATATATGAGTTCTGACATCAATTTTTCTCAATCTACTTCATTTCTAAAATCTTATTTAAATTCAAGATTTTTACTAAGTTGTAAGTGAAAAAACTATAGGGAAATAAAAATGTGTAACTCTAAGATTCTACATATCACATGTGTGTAAAAGGAACATAATCACTTGCAATTCAATTGTAGCAGAATCTCTTATTTTACTGATGTTACGTAGGAGGTGTTTTTAAGATAGAAATTCTGCTGCAGGCTTTTATTTAATCTCATTCAACGCAACATAACTCTATGTGTCAAACAGCTACTTTCAACAATATGGAAAATACTGGGGGAAAGAGTCTGCATTTCCCAAACATAAAGGAATGGTACAATAAATCCTTAATGAAAACTGTTGAGCTATGAATATATGATCTTAAAAAGAAATTTTTCTAGCACTATATAAAACTAGAGAACATTATCAGAACTATAAACA